ACAGATGAAACACAGCAGTTGTTTAATAGCATATAAAATTTAAGCACATACTTGTACTGTGGCACATTCTTCTCTTTTATCTTTTGATAAAATCCAAGAAAATAAAGATACAATGCAGTAAATATGATCAACTACACAATAGAGCATTTTCATAGAATATAGCAGAGAAAGAGAGAATGTTACACAAAATATTGTTACATGGGAAAAAACCCCACAGGGAATAAAAAATTTCCTTTTGGAAAAAGAGTTCCAGCTAACATAACAGCCAAAGTAATTGTTAGGCCTGGCTCATGGGAACACCTACAAACTTACTCAGTCTCATTGACTTAGTACACTTTCTCTTCCATTTCAAAGAATATATGTAATTTCACATATCAAAAAGCAGTAATGCTGGTCCAAAAGGCAGTGAGATGTTTTCCACGCTGGGTTAATATCCTGGGATGCAGAGGAAGCCAGAAAGAACAATTCACACCAGTGGCAATGGTGTTATGCATACACACTCAGTGCTGCTTTGCAGTTAGCACTTGGCTAAGTTTGTTGTATTAAAAATAACTCACTGATTAAAATGATTTCATTATTTTTAGGGTTCAGTTTAACACTTTCATATACAAAGCTTTGCAAAGTGATAACAAAATTCAGATAAGTTCCCTGCTGGGAGCAGGACCTGGTGACTTAAAAGTCAGCTACTTTCCTGCATGAATTGTTTACTTACAAAACATTTTCTCAAACAATATGTTAGAAATAGCAACACAGGCCTCCCTTGTTTGCAAACTTAACTAAAGCGTTAGCCTGTTTCCAGTGGGAGTTGTCTTCTAAGTGTTTGCACAAGGCTCAGGTAAGCTTCACTGCCTCCATCAGCAGATTCTTTGTTCTCACTACAAATCCCTCTGCTACATATGCTTTTCCAACAACCACTCTGCCTGGAAAAGTGGATCTGGACATCTTTTGTGAGTGCAGAATATAAACGAGCCTTTTACCTCCACAACCAATAGCTGCTGTGTGGGATCTTTACCTCCTCCTGTGGAAAGTTTCCCTCTGGACATTTTAATTGGTTATCACAGTGGTGCCTTGGGATGAGTTGAAGTACTTGACTGTGGACTCAAGGCCTAGTCACCTGTCTTGGGAGCCAAAAGTAATTGAAATGTCACCAGGCATATCACTCCTTTATGTGCCTTTGGTATACACACAGACATAACTTTTTATCCATGCCACTTACATGGCCTTTCTATGCTCTATGCCTATTTTTGAAATAACAATATTCCTACTGACTTCAGTTAAGATTTTCCCTCATGAGCAAGACATACCACTGGTTATAATAATGAGAAAAACCTGAAGAAGAAGCAGGATGCTGTTAAGACATGAATTTGGTGCTTACAAAGTTTGATTAACACAGAGAAGCCAAGGCTTACTCTTATGTTACAAACAGAAGGTTTCCTGTACTGCTTTACCAGTGTATTTCCTTTCAACACAGTGGACTATTTCTGGGATGTATTCTATGCCTAGTTTTACTGCTGATGTGGATATAGAAATATGTATAAAGTGCTCATGTGCCATATCTCACTGGAAATTATCTGTCAGCTCCAGATGTGTATAACTGTTGAATAAAAACAGATCATCAATTGATTTTTGCAAAGGCTGTGGAATGACAATTTGACAGTAATTTGGAGCACATCTTGAATGCACATAGCATGACTTTGAGACAGCAGCCTAGACAAAAAGTACACTGTCATCCAATGCCCTCTATCCCCTTCAATAAATACTAGTCTTCCTGCAGTTTTAAAATGCTACATGCCATTGGGCAGCCTCTGTGAATAATGATGGAGTTTGTTTTGTAATTTCTCTGGCTTGTTAAGGGTGTGTCCACACACAGCACATCCTTATTTTCTGTATGAAAGCTTGAGGATGGTCTATGTGAAGGAAGAGAGATGTGAGAGTGTCAAAGAGTGACAACTTCCATGTCCCTTGGGCACCTATCATAGGAGCAAAGGGGAGATGTTGGATCACCTGGAGGTATCCATGTCTCCCCATGATTTATAGAATAAGCCCAAAAGTACACTGTCATCCAATGCCCTCTATCCCCTTCAATAAATACTAGTCTTCCTGCAGTTTTAAAATGCTACATGCCATTGGGCAGCCTCTGTGAATAATGATGGAGTTTGTTTTGTAATTTCTCTGGCTTGTTAAGGGTGTGTCCACACACAGCACATCCTTATTTTCTGTATGAAAGCTTGAGGATGGTCTATGTGAAGAGAGATGTGAGAGTGACAAAGAGTGACAACTTCCATGTCCCTTGGGCACCTATCATAGGAGCAAAGGGGAGATGTTGGATCACCTGGAGGTATCCATGTCTCCCCATGATTTATAGAATAAGCCCAGCAGACCAGACCAAACACAGAACTTTGACAATGCTAAATTTAAGAGCAATCTGTTCCAGTTTCTGTGAGCTGGCAGATGAGTGGACTGAGAGGAAAACTCTTCATATCCATCTAGCTTTTGCACTGATACAGAATTCAACCTCCAACAACATTAAAACAAACAAAGGATAGGAACAATTTGGCCAAACACAGACCTCTGTACAGATGTCTCTTGCTTGCTTTCTCTTTATAGCTGACAATAGACAGAAATAGAAACCTTTGCATTCCTCTTCTTAGGTGACTGCTAATAGAAGGGGTTAGATAATTTGTTAAATTAACCAATTAAATTGGTTAGATAAATTGTGCATTCCAAGTATTCTACCTTTCTTCACTTACTTAATTTTAAAATGGAGGATAGCATGAGCGGTACAAAACCTAAAATGAAAGCAATAACGTAAACAAAATAAACTACAAAAACTCATTTTCATGCCTAACCCGTTTTCTGACTCACCAAACTTATTCATAGTCTTGTTTCCAATGTTATTTATTATTAAAGATTCAAACTTTGAGTTGGACACTCCCTGGGAAGGTGGTTATTGAAAGCACCTTTATAAATACTCTTGTAGCTTGCATCCAATTGTAAGACTGAGGTGAGCATAAATGATGCCAAAGGGCACTCTACATTGCTGTCACTGAAACCTGAAGAGTCTAGCTTCCTCTTCCATGGAAGCAGTGCCTTAAAACTGGGAGCTTGAATTGTTATTTTAAAATAGTACAGTGGTGTCTGAGGCACATAAAATGTGTCTATATGTGCATTTCTGCACGTGTGCACACAGGTGTGTGCAGGTGTATGAATCACCTAGAAGCTGGTCATCCTGGCATGTCCCTTGTGGAAATCAGGGTTGTGTGGTGGCTTGTCTGCCACTGCAGTTAGCAACCAAAATGTATTCTATACTAAACTTATAGATTTCTATATTTGAAATTTATTATAAATGCATAGAATTTATATTAAAGCATTATATAAAAAGCACCTTACATAGCAACTATTTGCATATTTTCTGGATTTTCAGAATTATATTTGACCACCTAGTAAAAGTCAGCAACTCTATTTTCTACTGCATCTGAACGATCCCAGGCACCAACTACCATGGAGCCTTGCTGGAGACCTGAGGAGACCAGATGGAGTGACAGCAATTTTAGTGATTACTGCAGAAGCTCTGACTGGAAGGGGTGGTGGGGAGAGAAAGTACTCAAGCACCAAATTAAATTACATGACACTTCCTTTGCAATAGGCCAGGTAGCAACCCAAGAGGCACCACAGTGTGCTGGAGTAAGTACTCACTAACATAAATTAAAAACAGGACTGCCCTTATGACATGCTAGGAACTCAAACATGACATTGAAAGCATAACTTGACTGGCCTGGGACTAGGGAAGACACACTGCCTGGTGAAAAGCTCTGTGAGAACCCAAGCCAGGGCTCATCCTGAGCGGGTGGGCTCATGGCACCCACCTCACCATGGCCTTCATGTCTGCACAGGTAACAAAACACAAAGCAGAGTGGGCCTGAGTCACAAACCACAACACCGCAATGATTCAACACCCTGGAGGGAAGGGATGCCCTCCAGAGGGACCCTGACACACTTGAGAGGTGGGCCAGTGTGAATCTTATAAAGTTCAGCAAAGCACAAGGTTTTCACCTGGATTGTGGCAATCCTGGACATACCCACATGTTGGGCGGAGAAGTGACTGAGAGCCACTCTGCGGAGAAAGACTTAGGTGTGATGGCGGGTGAAAAACTCAACATGAGACAGCAGAGTGCACTCACAGCCCAGAAAACCAATGGAGTCCTGGGCTGCATCAAAAGCAGTGTGGCCAGCAGCGTTAGGGAGGTGATTTCCCCCTCTACTCTGCTCTGGTGAGATCCCACCCGTAGTACTGCGTACAATTATGGTGTGCCCAGCGTAAGGAGGACATGAAAGTTTTGAAGCAAGTCCAGACTAGAGCATCTCCCCTATGAATGCTGAGCAAGTTGGGGCTGTTCAGCCTGGAGAAGAGATGGTTTCGTGGAGACCTCATGGCAACCTTCCAGTGTGCGAAGGGTCTGACAGGGAAACTGCAAAGACTCTGCATCTATCCGTGTTGTGATAGGACAAGGAGTAATGGGTACAAACTGAAAGAGGGGAACTTTATGTTACACATCAGGAAGAAATTCTTAACTGTGAGGACGGTGAGACACTGGAACAGGTTGTCCAGAGAACCTGTGGATGCCCCACCCCTGGCATTGTTCAAGGCCAGGTTGGATGGAGCTTTGAGCAACCTGGTCTACTGCTAGGGGTCCCGACCCATAGCAGTGGGGTTCAGGCTAGATGATCTTTAATTACCCTCGTAATTCCAGGATTCTCCTATCCCACAGGAAACCCCCCGCGCCCGCTGCCCGCCAGGCCCGCACGGGCCCGCCCCACGCCGGGGCTCGGGCAGGCGCAGCCGCCGGCCCCGCCC